CCCCAAAACCCCAAAACCCCATTTGCCGAATATTCTAACCTTTTCAATTGCCAATTTAATTATAAAAAATATAATTAACTCAATAGCTAATAATTATTAATCTTTTTTAAATATCGCTATAACTGAAAACCACTCACAGCTTATTTCTGCTTAATTTCTTCACTTTCAGGGTCATGAACTCTACCTTTTCATCATCATCACTATAAACCTCTTGTTTCTTTCTTCTTTTCTCCTAATCTTCGTATGACTTTTCATAGTTTTTAAGGAAATTTTTAAGTTTTGAATTATCAAGCATCTTAGACTCATTTGTGAATTTATAATTGAGATTTTCTCTATGAGATTTCTATCTCTTATTGTTTTCATTTAATTAGTTATTAATACTTATATTGTTACTGTTGCTATGCTTTTGGGGTTTACCTGTTGCACTATACTCATTTACATAATGTATTTTCTTCAAAGTTAGATTACTCTCTGAGGGTGCACCTCTTAACGATTTTTCTTATGAAATTCCAATTCCTTAATTTTTAGGAAGAGAATCCAATCCATAATGATTCTTTGAATGGAGCTGTTTTATACTGTGAGAGTAATTAAGCGCTTTTTAGATTTCAACAGCTCCATTTCTTTTCATATCAGATATGATCTCTTTTATATTGTCTTATCCCTAAGTATTTTTATGAGAGCCTTTGAATTAGTATTTTGATTATTCCAAGTTTCTATCGCCTGAGTAATCATGTTCTTCTTGCTCAACCTATTTTATCATCCTCCTAAGAAATTGAGAATCATGTCTCTTTTTAGGCGAACCCAAAAGTTTGATATTGAGCTGCATTATCTAGTTTTCTTATTTAACTCTTTACCTCAACTTTTCCAGTATTTTTTGTGATTTTTCTTTATTAAGTACAGGAGACGGCAGCTCTGTTTCATTAATATTTCCTGCTGCAGCAGACGCCAATAAATTTAGATTAGATTCATTAATTGCTTTGTTTGCATCATCAACCTTTAATTTATTCATTCTTTCTTAAGATTGCTATAAAGACCTCAGTTTTAGAATACTCTCACGTCTCTTGAAGAAGTTCATTTCGTTTTTAATAACCTCCTCAGTTTCCTTCTATTCTTGTTTTATCTCTTCCGTCCTCTCCTCTTTAACCCTAATAATTGTATCGGTTTACAACAGGCCAATTACTTCTATTATCTTAAATCTTGCTATAAGTAAATGCTAAAATATTAACTAGACCTGTTAATCAGGCAATGGCTTTCTTTCAAAGAATTCATTTAGCTAGCAATAGTAATTTACTGCCTCACTAGTAAATTCTAACAGGAATCTCTAGAAGCAATTGAAATTTTCTATAAAAGTTTTTTATTCACCCTCTGGTGAAATATAAAGATCGCATAGATCTGCAATTTCCTAAGACATTCCTAAGGTTTTTAGTTCCTTGTTGTATTCTAAATAAAATCATTAGAGTATTAATCATACTTACCTTAAAGTACTAACATAGCTATTTGTTGAAGGCTATAACATATCAATTCAAGCATCATATTAATCATTTTGCAAATATAGGTTACCATATACTTGTTTACTTTCTCATTACACAGCTATAGCTTCCTCACCAATTCAATTAGTTGCTCTCCATTTTTATAGATGCTTTTATTGAACTACTCAGTGATTATTAACTGTTAATCTTTAATGGTACTGAATTGATTCTTATCAAATCTCAAAATAAAAGGAGAGACTCGTTTATTAATCTCTGAGATATCAATCAGCCTATAATTTCTTTTCCTAGGTGCTCTTTTAGATGGAGAATAATCATTATTATCTTAAGGACTATTTGTGCTAAGTTAATCATTCAAGAACATTGTTTCTTAATCAATCTAGTAATTATTATTATTTTTATTTTAAATCATTGGAAACATTGAGGTATCTGAATTAAAGCTCTTTTCCTAGACATGAGTTGAATTCAGCGGGGATATAGCAGAGTGCTGCCTACTTAACTCATTTAGGCTTTATTTTATACTTTATAATCTATCCCGAGAACTATGAGTGATATGACTTGAATCTAACTATTCCCTCATTGTCTCAGATATATTTTTTTAGTTTCCTATCTTAATTACAGGCAATAAATGGTAATCTTTTCTTGATATCTCTTTAATAGCAGAGTTAAGTGAGTTCATTTATTTATTTCACTATAAAATAGCTTCAATATTATATTTCCATTAAATTTAGATTAAAAAATATCTCCATTAATATCTTTAACAATTAATGGGGTTTTGGGGTTTTGGGG